ATTTAAGTTACCACTTGCGTCGATATTTCGTTAAACCAACTACCATTTCTAATTCCCAGGCCACCTCGGTCAACAGCTTGCACTAGATTGTGCATGGTGTAGACATTAAGGGGTAATTTTTTCTATGTCACGTATTTGCGATAAAATGTGTTCAAGATCGAAAATGTTTTTGGCGTAAATCTCAAAATTGCTTTGTTTTAGCTTTATTCTCTAGTTTATACAGTAGCAACCTTTTAAAAAAAAGAGAAAACAAGACAAGGGCATTAAATTAAAGGATTAGTGTCAGGGTCATGCATTGCGGGCTTTTGTTATTGTTTACTTTTCACTCAAATACAACAAATACCGATAAAAATACCTTGTTTGGTATATTTCTGATAAAAATCACACAAAAAGAGCAAGGATTATAAAAGGATGGTTTAAATATATGACGGATTGTAAAAACTTTCCAGATCATCTAATCTATTCGTCCCGATAAATGGCCGCCAGGAGGAGTTTGAACCGGGGAATTCCTGGTGTGACACTAATCCTTTGAGGCGTAGAACACAGAAATATCGCTTTCTAAAAATTCAGTATATATAGAGTGTAAGCCAGCCAGAAATCAATAGACCATACAATGAATACAAAATACACCAAAACAACTGCATCGTTACCGGCTAATATAAACTGACTAATGAACTCCCCGTATTTATAGAATCATGCATGCAAAGCATTCTGGTCGGTTAACAGCGATGCATTCTGGTCGGAGAATCGGAAGTAAAATCTTACTTTCAGACCCCAATACGAATTAGAACTGCTGACTTGCTCGTTCGCTTCAGGCTCGCTCGCTGCGTTAGCAACAATTATTCACCTCAGGCTCGGCAATTATCGTGAATATAACCCTCAACTTCGTCTCGTTTTTTATTTACCGATAATCACCTCGCCTTCGGAGAATAATTAACAATTATTGGATGAGGTTTTTGTGATATGCGGAATTATGAATTATCAAAGTCGAGGAAAGCGTTATCTACCGAGACCTTGACAATTTTGCATACCGCAAAAACCAAATTCAATAATAACGAATGTATTCCTTCTTTTCCACTAGAAACCATTCGCAGATATCTTATTAATAACATATTAAATTATAATTTTCAAATTTTCAATTAGTTTTGATGTTTTGTTTTAAAATGCATGCGTCTGTTTTTGCGTAATGGACCGCCAGTCCATTGCAGGAAAATAATGGACCGCTGAAAGTGCTTCTCAGCCAATCACAGTCAGCGATTTCACCGGAGGCGATGCATGCGAGATCTTTTTGAAAATGAGATCTTTTTTAGGAATATATTACATCTAAAATTACCAAAAATATAAATGATACACATTTTTCGTGTTTCTATGCAGTTTTAGTATAAATTCAGTATTGAAAATGGTATTCAAGCGTTCTGATTAGCTCCCACAGCAGTAACTCTGACGCATTAGTTCCTGCACAGACTGCTTTGAACAGTTACTATTATTGCTTTCAAAACAAAATGCATGGTTGCAAACAAATCATCGCAGAAGAAATTGAAGAAATTAAAACACATACTATTCCTCTAAAAGCAAAAGAAGCAACATCTAGTATGGTGTTAGGCTATTTGGCGAAAGACGAAAGCACCTTTTTAGACGCCTGAAACAATTTATTATATAAACATAGTGTTATAAATTATAGAGTTTTTGGCCACTGAGAAAAATCGTATTTAAATTAAACACACGTAAAAAATACGATATTTTTACGTGTGAAAATATCATTTGTTGTATATAAAACGCTTTGCCACGGACGTTTTATTGGTTTTCACTGAATTTTGTTTATATAATAAACAAAAAAATGCATTAAGGGTGCTTGGAAATACCAGATTTATTTCTCGTGTTGAACACGATATCTCACTCGTTCGTTGCGCTCAGCCGCTTACTCGTGAGATATCATGTTCAACACTCGAAATAAATCTGTACCGGTCTTTTCGCGCACCCATGTATTATTTTCTATTTATTTGGCAATTTGAAACCGGGAAATAACAGAATCGGGCGACAAGATTCCGACGGCGGATACGTTTGACTCAAAAGCGGAAGAGTGAAATAAATTATATTTACAACGCTTGTATATATTATTATTTTTCAATACAGAATTTATACTACAACAACTAGTCACCTCAGGCTTGGTGATCACAAGACTTTAAATTCACTTCACTTCTTCTCAGCTCAGTGCATACCTGCACTGCTTCACAGCCTTGTAATCACCTCGCCTTCGCTGACTAAATTGTTAGATAGAAACACGCTTTGGAGTTTGGGAGAAACTGCCAAGACGTATTTAGAAAATACTCGCAAAACAGGATTGCTAAAGATTGGCAGACGATGTGCCATATTTCTAAAGAAATTTGATCGAACCGAGTAATCAGACTTCGTCTCAGATTTCAAATTTTAACCTGGGAACGGGCATACTCATTACAGGCTGTATGGCTGCGGAGGAGGTAATGATATGCATTAGCTTCCGTTGAGCTTAATAAAATATTTACATTTTGCTACGACCACAAATTGCTATTTTTTTAAATTATTAAATATATTTTTGAAATAATACTGTTGTATTTTCTACGAAAATACTTAAGTCCTATGATCGTTCTAATCTTCTCATTGTACTATTAAACTTCTCGTGACAGGAACGAGTTAAAACTGACCATAGACCTCAGAACATTTTTCGCAGAAACGTATCAGAGAGATTGAATTTCATGTCAGGAAGATCATCCATTGCGACATGCGAAATATTGGCGAGAGAATTCCTCGAAGAGATTATTTTTATTAGAATTTCTGAAAGGTCGCCACTGTTCTTGCTGGTGTTTTCATAATTTATATAAATGACGTGTTAGGTGAGTGACTTGGTATTATTTCAAAATAGAACGTATATATAAGTAATTTTACTACTGCCTTTCAAAATGTGTCATATTTATTCAGTGTGTGGCATTGCCATAAGCTGGCGCATAAATATTGGTCCAGAATCAACGTTTTAGACAATTTTTAAACAAGACCGAACAAAGTTGTAACCGTCGAACATTTTTTTTCTTTTGACTTGTTCACATGGGAATTGCTACGGCTCGCTCGAACTCAACCTCCTTCATACATCCAATATGAGCGCGACAGCCTAAATGCTGTACATTTGAGGACAGTGCATGTATGAATCGCGGATTGGTGCATGGAAGAAACTTGTAGCTCTGCAGTTATTCCTTCATAAACGCCGGCAATGTTTTGTTTCAATTTTGTTTATTATTTACAATTTTTCAGTCACAATTTGGAAACTGATGACGCTACAAGGCTTATAATTTTTGGAAGCGTTCGACACTTTATAAAATATCACACTATAGCTATGGCATACACATGTTATAAAATGTTGTTTGACAGTTTTTATGCCGATGAGCTCGGTGAATAATAAACATTATATAACCATTTTCCTGCACACATCCATATTTTTTCAGAAATACGTTCTGATGTGTAGTAAGATAATATACAGGGTGTATAAAAAAAACTGAGCAGATATGAATTTGCTCTCAATTTCGCAAAACAGCTATTAGTATCCAGTTTTTGATGTATGTAGTATCTTTGGGTACTTCTAATGTAGAATAATGAAAAAAATTCTCCAACTCAAATTTTATGAACATGAGGGTGTGCTTTTCCAACAAAATGAAAATGGTTTGCGCACGAATTTTAAAAGCTATAATCATATTTTGAGTTAATAGATGGAAAATTTGTTGGGTTAATTACTTTGTTGGGTTAATTACTGTTAATTACTGTACAAAATTTCAGACAAACTTGCATCTTTTCCTCTGAAAATCAGCTATTTGCATGCTTAATTAATGCCTTTGCCTAATTTGCATATGTCAGCAATATGCAGATTAGGTTAAGGCATTAATTAATTAAGCATGCGACAGGCTGATTTTTTAGGAAAAAGCAAATTGTCTGAAATTTTGTACAGTAATTAAAAACCCGACAAATTTCCTATCTATTAACTCAAAATATGATTAAAGCTTTTAAATTTCGTGCGCAAGCCATTTTTAGTTTGTTGAAAAAGACACGCACCTCTGGTTCAAAAAATTTGAGTTCGAGAAATTTTTTTCATTATTCTACATTACAAGTACCCAAAGAACCTATATACATAAAAAACTGGATAGTAATAGCTGTTTCGCGAAATTGAGAGCAATTTCAAATCTGTTCAGGTTTTTCTATACACCCTGTTTATTGTTTAACTACTGTCAAGGTAGCCGCGAATTCGCCTTTAGATTCGACCTCGGATTGTGCCTCACATTCAATTGTATATTCAATCATTCAAATATATATTATTTAAAACCCTGTTTGAAGCTACCTTAAAAGATAGTTTTATTGCAAATTAATACTAACTGGAGCAATGCAACGTATCTATATCCATTGATGGGCCGTGCGGAAAATACATAATAAACTAAATTATACTTATTTACAAAATATACTTATTTACTTATTTACAAGATGTGATTATTTAATAGATGATGGGCAGATTTTAAACTTGTTGACTCTCTTAGGGTTTTCAATAAGTTTGTTACGGCCGTTTAGCGATTCCCGTTTTCGTTATACTACTGTACACACGTTAAAATTGGCTTGTTCCTCACGCCTCTCATAATAATTTTTATTCGTTGAACGTTTTCGTATCACAGATAAGAAACGGTAGAAAACGTACCGAATTATTACAACAATAACAACTAATCTACCGTTTTACTCTGAGTTATAAATGTTCCGACACGATGCTTATAGAAAATTAATATTTAAATTGTTCAAGGTTCAGTAATTATTAAACTAATGAGTTATTGCCACAACATCTGGCTCCCCTAAGAGGGTTCGATGACACTCTTAAATACACGCACACAAATAAAGTCTTGAGAATTAATAAACACAAGCACTGTTAATGTTTCTAGTAACACATAATGTCAGTTCTTTTCTTCGATAATGGCTCCTCGATGGGGATTTCTCCGGTCTTACGAGTTTTCCAGTAAAATAACTAGTTTCACAATTGGACGTTCGAGGGTTGACGTAGCAGTCTTCGCCTTTACGGAGCGAACAGCACTCACTGAGTCTGGAGTAATGTCAATAAAACGAGCAAGTGGCCACAAGTTGATTGATGTTCTCTCGTCGAGTACTGGAACTACATCTCCGATTTCAAAACTGCGCTGGGGACGGTTCCATTTCTTTCTCATCTGAAGTGTATTCAGGTATTCCCTTTTCCATCGAGTCCAGAAGATTTCAACCAGATACTGGACTCGCTTCCATCGCTTACGAAGGTAGAGGTCGGCGCGCTGGAAGTTTCCAGGAGGTGGCATAACTATCTTAGATTTCATCGTCAAAATGTTACTTGGTGAAATTGGACTCCCTAAATCGGTTGGATCGCTGGAAGGGAATGTCAGTGGTCTACTGTTGACAATACACTCGGCTTCTGTTAACAATGTTCGGAAAGATTCATCATTAAGAACATGACCAAATTCTTTCATTAACGATGTAAGGATTGTACGCACTGTACGAATCTGGCGTTCCCATACACCACCCATGTGTGATGCCGCTGGGGGGTTTGGTTTCCATCTGACCACCCAATCAGCGTCGGAATGACGGCACAGATACTCGTTTATCTTCGCGTTGTCCATTTCTTTGAGAGCGTCTTTAAGGTCTTTCGCAGCTCCTATTAGGTTGGCAGCTCGGTCCGATCTTATTTCTCTCACTGGACCACGTCGAGCTATAAAACGTCTGAGTGCATTCAGGAATGAGTCGGTTTCCAAGCAGTTGGCTGATTCTAGGTGAATTGCTCGACTATTTAAGCAGGTGAATAGGACACCATAGCGTTTTAATTCTTTCCGACCATCCTTGATAAGACAGGGGCAAAAAGATCAACTCCACAGTATGTAAATGGTGCCGCAGAAGCAAGTCTGTCCTTGGGCAAATCAGCCATCTTCTGTTTGGCGGTTCTGGCACGAAATGTAATTTCTGACTCTGAAATTGGCGTTTATGATCCAATACCTGCCTCTTAAATGGTTGAGATTAAATCCTCTTCCGCCGTGGGCAGCGTTCTCATGGTTGTGGCGAATAATCAGCTCTGTAACGTGACCATTTTTCGGCAATATGACGGGATGCTTCATTTCTGTCGTTATCTCGTCACACCTACGTAATCTTCCTCCAACACGCAGTAGACCATTGGAGCCAAGGAAAGGATCCAGGCGATACAATGAGCTTGGCTTTCTGAGTGTTTGTCATTTTTTGCTTAGTAAGACTTCTATTGTTGACTTTGCTGCTATCTTCGACCCTTTTCAGCGCACTAATTTCGTCAGGAAAGGGTTCTGCTTGGACAATCTTCACAATTGTAACTTCTGCCTTTTCCAATTCTTCGACCATGACAGGTTTGGGGGTCATATCTTGCGTGGAACTATCACCACGATTCCGTCGGTTACGATCTCGTCTTGGCTTAATGCATAACAACCATGCTATAGCTTTCTTTAGTCGATACCATTGAGAGAAACGAGAGAAGTATTCCAGAATCTCATTGTGTTGACCAGATAGAATGGTAATTAGCAGATATTACGGCGACTTCTGGATCGTCAAGTGTATTAACGCTTACATCAACAGGTCGTTTAGGCCATTCATCCGTTGCTTTCCATAGGAATGATGGTCCATTAATCCACCGCTTGTTCTCAAGGAAGCGTGACATCTTTAAACCACGAGACGCATCATCAACAGGATTCAAGGCTGAGTCAACGTAATGCCATTCATGGGGTGCAGTTGTGTCTGTAATCGTTTGGACTCGGTTTGCTACGAAAGACCTGGCTTTATCATTGGTACGGTACTTCAGGACGTAGAATCGATCGTCTGGTGAAACGTCAAACTCTTTAACAAGCATATTGATTCACGTACTGATAATACAGCAGCGGTCAATTCGGGGGGGGGGGGGGAATAGTCATTTGCTTGACTGGTGAACAACGAGCTTTGTCAATAAGGAAAGCACAATGAATCTGTCCAAGGTCATTTTCTTGTCTTAAGTACGACACCTGCCCATATCCTGCAGAACTCGCGTCAGAGAAGCTGTACATGTGTATCTGCTTTGAAACTACTGCCCCAAATTATCTTACAATAATCAATCGATTATTGTAAATAATATCAAAAGAATCAATCATGCGGTGCGGACGTGTTGTTTACGCTCTTGGTACTTTAGTCTATCTGTACCTCTTTTACTTATTTTACGTGAAGCCTCTTTATTTTCTGGCTTATGCTTGGTCCATAGATCAACTTTAGTGAAACGTAGCCAGCGCTCTGCTGCTTTGAAGACCTCTGCAGCCAAATTTCATAAACATGGAGCAACAACATCTAGCATTGCCATTCAACAGTACTGTGACTCTGAAGGCTTACTTTGCTCTCTGCTGTGATGTTTCACCGAATCCTGGACCTACAACTTGTGTTCTTAATCAAAATGACTTTAGAACCTGTATTAATGGCGAGAAAATAAATGCTGGAAAATTATCGGCTCCCGGTGGCGGCGCCAGGGGGGGCAAAGGGGGGGGGGCAAATGCCCCACCCAAATAATTTTTTGCCCCCCCATTTTGCCCCCCCCCCTCAAAAAAAATATTAGTCACTAAGAGCGACTAAAGGCTACACAAGCGTTTTGTCGTTATCGGAAAATGTATGGCTTATAAGTTGTCATTACTCATTAGTGAATGCGCGTATACATGAAATTGTTTTTTACAGTTTCAATATTAGTTTGTAAATCTCTGAACTGTAAAATACTCCAATAATACGTTTCAAAATAGACAAAAAAGCTTTAGTGTTGCAGAGTTAAATTCTCAAACGTGTAAGGCACTAATAAGATGAAAGTATCACGAAATTATTTGAATAAACCACATCGAATATATGGGGGGCGAATATCCTAAAGAGGGGCGATATTCCTAGGGTTTCGCCCCACCCCCTGGGAGGCGATATTCCTAGGATATTCGCCCCCGGGGGCGATATTCCTAGGAATATCGCCCCCCTTTTGGGGGGGGGGGGGCGAATCTCCTGGGGGGCGACGTTTTTAAAAATTCTATCTTGCCCCCCCCAAAAATATGAGTTTGCCCCTCGAATGCCCCCCCAAATTCGGAGGCCTGGCGCCGCCACTGTCGGCTCCTGGAACAAACTGCAACTGCTATTCAAACAATATCAACACTAATGTTTTTAAGCTCCGGACTTTTTACAACGAATCTCATTGGGTCACTCCTCGGCAACTTGATCAAGTCAATAAGCAAATGCCGGTTAGAATTTCTACCAGAAATGAAAAGCGTTTTTCAAGCCACTGCCGTTATAGTAGAAGCTTTCGAAATTGCTTTTCTATCCATGTTCCTCGAATTTGCAAGTAAAATCTGGCGTCCCTGAAGTATGTTAAAAAAAACAACATATCAATGGCTGGTATTCCCGTGAGAATATCATCGCGTCATAATCGGAAAGTAATTAACCGCAGAAACCCAACTAATCTTGTTTACGTAAATATCGATAATATTCAACTTTGCAAATTGGGCTCGAACATGCGATTTGCTTTATGGAATGCTAGATCTATTAATAAGAAAGCTGCAATTATATGTGACATAATTCAGTCTAATAAACTAGATATCCTTGCAGTAACAGAGACTTGGAGCAACAAAAATACAAAGTTTTCATCGGCTGCTGAAGTTCTGAATACAATCAGAGACTTTGCGGTTTTAGAAGCGCCAAGGTTAACTGGTAGGGGTGGTGGTTTGGCTGTGTTTTTTCGGAAGAGTCTTAAAATAACCAAATACACCGACATAACTTTTCAATCTTTTGAACATCTAGATTTGTCAGTTACATTTGGCAATTTTAATACCAGCATGGTATTAGTCTACAGGCCTCCGCCATCAAAAAAGAACAACCTAACACCTACTACGTTTTTTACAGAATTTTCCGATTTAATCAAGGACCTTACTGTTTCCGATAAACCATTTTTTATTGCGGGCGATTTTAATCTTCACATTGACAACAAATCAAACCCGGATACTGTAAAATTTCTAAACCTATTGGATAGTACAAACATGATTCAAATGGCGTCAGGACCCACTCACCGACGAGGCCACACCTTGGACCTGATTATATCACAGCTTGACGATGAATTTGTTAGTAATGTAAAGATACAACAGGAAATGTACTCCGATCATCGTGTAATCAAATGTGAATTAAAATGTCCAAAGCCACCTTTGTCCAAAGTTCTCGTGTCCTACAGATTCACCAAACACCTGGACCTAGATACTCTTAAACACCGCATTATGAAGTCCTTTTC